AAAAGCACACAGGACACCTGAGTGGTCCCCAGGACAAGTGCTGAAATAAAAGCAATAAAGTCTCAATTCTCCAAGCTAATGGAGGAGGCAGTGTCAGAAATCAGAACCCTGCACACACTTTGCTCTGCTCTGCATGGGTCCTCCCGGGAACATTCATGGTTCCTGTATGGTCTCCTTTCCAAGCGTTAGACATCAAGGAGGAGCAAACGAAGAAACCCAACCAGGAGAGGAGGACACTGCCAGGGTTAAACATTTCCTTCCACATGGACAGCTGGAAAAGGCCTGTGGTAGAACGCACAGTGGCTGCCCCTTCCCATGGGCATAGCCAAGAAAGTCCTGAAATTTGCCGCAGTCTCTGGCATTGTATCTGGAGAGGCATAAATAAAGAGCAATGGTGAGCTGTAAAGAGAGAGCTTGCTGAGCCCAATGCACAGAGTCATGTGGGGAACAAGAAGACAGCTGCTGGGTGGTGCTGGCTGCAGTGGGGTGTGCAGTGCATCATGGGGAGGAGCATAGGTCAGGTCCTAGGTGTCATTGTGCCCTGGAGCCCCAGACTTGTGGGGAAGGAGCCATCCTTCCTACTGCACTCAGTCTGGAAGTCTGGAAGTCCTGTGCACAGATGAGATAGCCAAGGCCATCAGCTTAGTGGCCACCCCAAGGTGTGGTCTGAGTGTCTGCCTGGGCCTGGAGATTCCGATGTTGCCAGCAGCTCTTCCAAGATGTCTGTCCCTGTTACCACCAGCTCCAGAGCCCAGTCCATGACCTCATCCCTGACCAGTATAATTTGGACAGTATTAAAGGTTTTCAGTGATCCCAATTCCTGGGCCCTGCTCAGGGGACTTTGAGAGGAAGTAGCCCAGGCCTGAAAGTACCTGGGTCTCTCCATGTGCTCCATATGGAAGACCTTAGATTTGGAGGTCACATCGCCCCCAGGCAGAAACTGGGAAAATAAGAATAGCTTTGCCAGAAGTTCTCTCCTCCCTCCCAAGATATAGGCTTAGATATGGGGTATCTCAGATGAGAAGTATGAGCCATAGGATCCTTGAAGACAGAAGCCTTGAGCCAGGCTCCAGGGAAAGTTCTGGAAGCAGAGCATGGAAAGAGGGGCACCTCCTACCTTGACTTTCTCTCCAGTCATGGTCTCCATCTCACTCTCCTCACCCAGGGTGAACTCATGCTTGTCTACTTTGCTCCCAGTGGTCATGGTGATCTTGAAGTGCTTCCCATTCTGCACGATTTCTGTCACTCCCTTGAGGTCCTTCCCTTTCTGGATGAGGTCCTCGGGCACCCCTGATGGAAACCATCCAAGGTTTAGAGACAGCAGGGTTTGGAGTTGCAAGGCCCAGGCAGAAAAGAGAAACTGTGACATGGACAGGCAGAGGCCTCAGACACTGGCAACCTGTCAGCAACAAGGGCTGTGTCCTAGGATAGGGAAGGTGGGGGCCTGGCCTGGGTACTGCAATCTTATGAATCTTTCTTTTTCCTGTGAGTGCTCTGTTTTTTGCTCTTTCTCGTCTCACTCTCCCTCCTCCTCTAGCACGTCACCCTCCACACTCATCGGGACCAGAGAGTTTTTCTTCTACAATGGGTCACTCCTCAAGTGACAGGAGGGGGTACTAATAATTAGACCAGGACACCATGTATAAAGTGGGCTTGCCAGGCAGGCCTGAACTCTTTTGGAGGCTCATGAGATATCCTGATAGCAGGGGTGGCAGGCCTGCCGCACAGGTCAGAACTGGGTATACAGAGGCAGGCTGACTGGACTCCTAAGACCTGAGCTCTCAGGCACTCCCCAAGGTCCTCCTTCCCCACCCTTGCTGTTTCCGAGCTCTTCGCCCTCTCCACACCCTCCTTGCCTCACTGCTCCCTCTGCTCACAGGGCTCCCTCTGCCTGGCACACCCTCCCCTCCCCAGCCCCCTAGTGGGCACTGCTCCTCTTCCCAGGCTCCCCTTCACCACCACCTCCCCCCTTCCCCTCCCTCCACACCCTGCACTGTGGGAGGCAGGGGGTTAAAGCGAGGCCCTGAGAAGGGGGCCTGCTTCCATAGTTACCAACTGAGAGGTTTTGGTGAGGATTAAATGGGGCATTGCACAGGAATGTTTAGCCCAGGACCTGGTACAGAGCCACCCCTCTTACATCATAGGGGATACTTTGTTACATTAACTTCTTTTTTTCTTTGTCTAAACTGTCTAAACTCTGACCTTGGGAATGTGGCTCTTCATTATGTATCTCAGTGCTATGTATTCAGCACAGTGCTTGACATATGGTTGGTATTTGTTAAAAGAATGAATGAACGAATGCATGCCTATATGTACGAATCAGTGAATGGGGTCTCACAATGAAGCACCAATGGATGTGGGCATCTATCCAGATCCCACCCTAGTTCACTTTTTCCACTTGCCTCTTGGTGTCCTTGTGCAGTGAGCAATGGCCTACGTGCCAAGCGGTCACCAAAGTCAGTAAAATGATTCCCAATGTGATGTAACTTGAGCCTCTTTTCCCACGAACATGTGGCCCTGAATTGTCCCCGCCTGTAGGGCCAGACCTTCCCTGCTGAAACTGTGGCCTTGGTGACCTGTCTAGCACTCACCCATTGCCTTCATGAAGGGCTCGAAGTTCTCCTGGCTCTGCAGCTGGTACTTGCCGGAGAAGCTCATGGTGGTGACGAGGCTTCCTCTCCACAGCTGGCCCAGGTCTGCGGACCGGGCTGCCCGCTGTTTGCAGTTTTATAAGGGCTTCTTCCTCTCCAAAAATGGACCAGAGCTTGATGGCTATAATTTCTTTATGACCAGGTTAAAACATTAACTTCTGAGAATAATGCTTAACAATATAAAACAGGATGGGCCCAGCAGAGGTTTCCTCACATTCAGCAAACATTAATGAACAGCTATCAAGTGCAGAGCCCCAGGGCCCTCTAGCGTTTAAGATGACATCCCACCCCTCATGAGCTCAGTGTGTGTGTGTGTGTGTGTGTGTGTGTAATGTGTATGTATGTGCATTATACACATACACATTGAGAATAAAATATACAGTTAATGATATTCTACTAGTACATGTTTCACTGTCATTAATCCACCTCCAAATACTCCCTCTCACTTCATACACACTTATTCCATCATTCTTTCTACTTTCTGAAGCAGTTCTGAAACTCTTTTGTGAGCAGCTTCATGAGCTGTGGTTTAAAAAAACAACATTGGGCCGGAGATTTAGCTCAGTGGCACCATGCCTACCTCACAAGCATAAGGTCCTGAGTTCAATCCCCGGTACCACAAAAATAAAAAATAAAAAAACGACAAACCCCCCTCCCCCCCGGCATTCTTCTACTGAGTACCATTCAACAAAAGGCAGGCTCGTAAAAACACTACGGTATGTCTTCATCTACCTTATTCACTGGATCTGCTTCTGTGCAACTTCTGACTCTTCTCCAAAGTTCAAATGGCCATGGAAGGAAAATGATTTGAATCAATTCAACACATCAAGGCAGCCATGATGGTGCATGAAGGAGGATTTTCAAAACTGCTTCAGAAAGAGGCAAGGATAATAGAGTAAGTACGTTCCATAAAGTGAGAGTATTATGAGGAGGCTTAATGGTAATATATCTTTTATTAAAATTAACTTTAAAAAAATAAACGTTCAGGGCAGGCCTGTAATCCCAGCACTTGAGAGACTGAAGCAGGAATTCGAGGCCAGCCTGGGCTACATAGTGAGTTCAAGGCTGGCTTGAACTACATAATGAGACCCTGTCTCAAAAAACAAACACCAAAAAAATTACCCTATTTTTTTCAAATTCATGTATGTACATATATAGGGACACACACATACAGTATGCATAATTATGTGTGGGTATGCACATAGAAATATATGTATATGTATGCATGCATGTATATTCACCTGTGTTTGTGCATGTGTGCACACGTGTTAATGCATCTGTGTGAACATGTAGAACTACATTTATTCATATTGAATATGTGCATGTGTGTGCAACATAGAAATACCTTGGAGCACAAAACTTTACCTGATTTACATAGCCTTAGGATCATTTTCTATACTTAATTTACACACACTTAATTTCTGCAGAATTGAAATCAGCCCCTAGTGCTGTTTTCCATTCAGGGAATTCCTCTTGAATGATACAGGAAACTCTGGGTAACTCCACAACTCCAAGCAGTCCCTCTTCTGAAGTGCAAAGTCCACACACACTTCAGGGCAGGTACTGAGGATGTCAGCCAGGTGTGTGAAAGTTGAGATGCATATTATAGGCAGGGACAAGGTAAGGGAAAGGAGGGGGCAGTATCTGCTGACTTCCCCCATCCCTGCCCAGGAGGAGGGAACAGGGACTTGGGGTGACTTGTGGGGAACTTGGCCTGTGGAACCCCCTGACTGGCACTGGCCTTGACCAGACCTCGGGATGCTCCTGTTTGTCATGAAGCACAGAGGTGATGGCACCCAGTGGCTCTACAGCCCCCAATTCCTGCCTCTGAGGCAGCTCTAGACAAGCACCCTCACCCCTATGTCCCTTCCACCTCTTTCTGGACCTTGGCATCGGCCTCTTCACTTGCAGCCTCCAGTCTCCCACCCTCCAGGCCTCTGCACTGTGGTTAGACAGATCATCCTCTAGCACAGCCTGAGCACCTCACTCCTCTGGATATAAGCCTCTGCCTCTGCTGGCTCCAATTGCTCCTGAGGCCCCAGATCCAAATACTGAGGAGGTCCCTGGTGTCCTGTGTCCTGGCCATGATGACCACTCCCAATGGCACTCTCCCTTTGCTGCCATGAGCTCCAATTTGGGGCTTGGTAAATAGTTGCTACTGCCTGAACTTCTAGCAGGCTGCCAGCTCTAGTTTAACTTTCCAGCTGTGTCCTTCTTTCTCTGCAGGTCACAGTCACAGGGCCAGCTGAACACATCAGGGATATCCATGCCTCTGTGTCTGTGTCCACGTTGCTCCCTCTGCCATTCTTTTCTGTCTCCTTCTCTGTAAATCCTCTAAACTCACTTCGCAGATGCCTCCATTCTGACTGCACTGGGATGATTTCTCCATGTGGCCTTTATCACTGTCCACTTTCCTTGGTATTCCTCATGCCCAGCACAGAGCAGGAGCTTAGTCTTATGGCTCACCAGATGAAGTCTGGCAAAAGATAATGCGGCCATGGCTCTTCTGGTTGAGGGAAAATGAGAGATGAAAAGTAGTCAGGTCAGCAGTCCACCCTTAGGCCACTGAATGACCGGAGCCAGGCAGCAAGGGTGTGTGCATGTGTGTGTGTGTGTGTGTGTGTGTGTGTGTGTGTGTACATGTATGTCTCACTGGGGTGCAGCTTGGCTGAGAATGCAGTGGGAGAGGATGTGATCCTGGCCGCGGAACCAGCTCCCCTCTTCCCAGCCCTTTCTGTTCTTTCTCCTTTCTCTGCAGCTTCCCTCTGCCATACCAACCTCTGCCTGGTAGATGGTATGAGATTCCAGACTGAGCTTTCTCTGTCCCTGGCCAGTTCTCTCCTCTGCCTGGGTCCCTACTTGCAGTACAACCACTAAGATGATTCTGTGCACATCCTACTCTGCACCTGGGAACTTGCTGGGCTGGTTGAGTATCTGCTCCCAAAGCCTACGGTCTCTGGTTCTGGTGGGCAAGAGGAGAGGGAAATGTGAGCAGGTGAGAGCTCTTGTCAGAGGGCACTGATGCCCCAGAACACAAGTGTGAGGAGCAGGATCCAACACAGACAGTGGCCTACAGTAGAGGTGTGCTCTGTCCCCCGACTCCACACACAACCCTCCACGGTCTCCAGAATTCATGCTGCTGATCGGCAAAGCACTCCAGATGTCATTCATGCACCCACATGTCCAGGGCCAGGGCCTGTCTCCAGCACCCCTGACATGTGGCATTCGCATGTGCACTCTGCTGTGGGGATATCACTACTTTTGGAACGATATTAACGGAGAAGCTAGTTGAGTGTGCTGCTTCGTGGACCCTGGCACTGGCAAACATGTCCCTTGGGCATGGAGGGACACTCTGCTCTGCCCTCCCTGCTCAGCCTTTTTCTGAGTGTCAGGAACACAGTGTGCCTCCCAGGCCACAGGTGAGTTGGTCATGCTTATATGCTGAGTACTCCTGGCCCTCTCTGGGCTCCACAACAGCCTCGGGATGAGGATGGGAGTGGAAAAGTGGCTCAAAGGACAATATATATGATCCCCTCTTAGCTTGTTCTGGACTGTGACTGTGTAGCTTTTAATTTGACTCCCTGTTCTGAGGGAGCCCATATAGACCCTGGTCTCCATGTGGAACAGTGATTTTCATTTTCCTATATGTAAGGAAGTGAAAAATCCATTATTTTAAGAAATGGCATGGGAATTCTTCTGGGAGAGGAACTCTGCGTGCATGCGTGTGTGTGTGTGTGTGTGTGTGTGTGTGTGTGTATGACTGGATATGGTAGATATGGATAAGCTGCTTGGGCAAGATGGTGAGTGAGACCCCAGGTCTGTGTGTCAGCAAGAGCCATGTTCACTAAGGCAAAGGCTGCCCTGTTCACAATCAGGAAAGGCCAAGGTGTTTTCGTTGCAGAAGAGAAGAGGAGAGGTTGCCAGTGAGAGGATTTGGGGCAAGGAGCCACTAAGAGATCCACAGTGATCACGAGAGGTTTCTAAGAAGGCTAGTGTGGAATACGAAGCTGATTGCTTGCTGAAAGTGAATTCCCATCCATCTTTCTTTACTTCCCTTGCCTACCACCTCCAAAGGTTCAGCATGTTGTAGTGCAGGGATCATTATGTATGCAAGTGAAAAATGATGGAAGGTTCAGTTTCATTTCTAGACTGATGTGATGGAGCTGAAACAGCTCTCCTAAAAGCAGTTTCAAGAACCAAAATGTCCATGGGGATGTCTTCTTGTTGTGGTTTATATCTAACATGTCCCCCCAAAGTCTCATGCACTCATAGGTGGGGCTTTTGGGAGAAGGCTGGATTATGGGTGTGTGATACTGGGTTAGTCTACTGATGGATTTACAGCTGGGCAAGATGTTGGGAGGTGAAGGCTGGTGGGAGAGGTGGGTCACTGTGGGCATAGCCTGGAAGGAGATATTATATACCTCTCTCCTTCTTGCCAGCATGTCATGAGCTCTTTCTTCTCTGCCATGCCACCTTGCCTTGGAGCCAGCAGACTATGGACTCAAACCTCTATAAACTGTGAGCCATAATAAACTTTTCCTTCTTTAATCTGTGGGTGTTGGGTATTTTGTATTAGCAACAAGTAAGGCAGATTTGGGTACCAAGAGTGGGGTTGTTGCTACAATGCTACCTTACCATGTGGTTCAGCACCCTTTGGAACTGGCTTGTGGGACAGTTTGGAAAAGTTTGGACATACTGACTGGAGAATCAGTCCCAGAAAGCTGTGAGCTGAGCCCGATGGGAGATTCTGGTCAGAGCTCAGAAAACCAAAATGTTGTCAGTAATGCAGCCAGAAAAGAACAGGCTCAGGAGTTTTCTGCTGGGAACAAGGACTCCATTGGCTGTTGGATTCCAGGCCATGTGTGCTCTGATCTGGGAGAAAATTTGTCAATATTTTGCTCATTTTGTCCTAAGGGGGCCCATTTAGACCCTGATGTCCAGAGATTTTTCAGGAGACTGAGATTATGGGGGGTGGGCTAATTACTCTGGCAGAGGAAATTTCAAGGCTGCCAAACATTCAGACTGTGACTTGGATAGTGTTGGGGCTATTATCCAGCTCTATCTTGAAAAATCAAGATCAAACAGCCCAGCATAATAATTTTAAAAGTTTTGAGTTTGGCCAAAAAACAAGCTCTGATAA